AATCAGGGAGGGACAATTTAAATCAGAGTAAAGGGACAGTTTAAATCAGGGAGAGACAGCTAAAATCACAGTAAAGGGACAGCTTAAATCAGGGAGGGACAGCTTGAATCAGGGAGGGACAATTTAAATCAGAGTAAAGGGACAGTTTAAATCAGGGAGGGACAGCTAAAATCAGGGAGGGGACATCTTAAATCAGGGAGGGACAGCTAAAATCAGAGTAAAGGGACAGCTAAAATCAGGGAGGGACATCTTAAATCAGGGAGGGACAGCTTAAATCAGGGAGGGACAGCTTAGATCAGGTGAGGGGACAGTTTAAATCAGGGGAAGGAACAGTTTAAATCAGAGTAAAGGGACAGTTCAGCTCAGGGAGGGCACAGGGGCCTTACACTCTAATACTGTGACAGTCCCGTCACTCCACCATGTTGATATGCTCGTTCCCCCTGGTAAGTTGAGTCCTGTGACAGCGCCACGTCAATCTGGGATTTAAACTCATCACCAAGGTAACTGTCCTGCAGGGGGAAAGGTGAGGGAAGCCTCAAAATCACTGTCCAGCTCAAGTGCAAGGCAGAACCAGGTTAATGACACAGCTGAGAGGGTTTGGTTGTTTAAAATCTGCTTTTTTGGTGCAGAATTTCCCTATATTAAGGGGTTTTTGAGCTGTTTATCAGCTGAAGGAATATTTCACTTTCCTGCCCCCAACAGTACAGGGTGTAAATATTTCAGCTGAGTCACTGAGAGCAGTTTCAGTTTCGTTTCCCTCAGGAGGGAGGAGGTGCAGGCACCAAGCACCAACACCAACCCCAGGAAAAAGCTCTGCTATCCCCAAATCGGCGCTCACCTGGGATAATTCCGGCTGGGAGAGCCCAGGCTGACTCATCTGTGAGGGCTGGCTCATGGAGATGTAGCCCTGGGTCAGGGGGCCCTGGGAGAAGGGCTGGGACACCACGTCCTGGCTGGCCTGGCTGTTGGGGAGGTTGGACTGGCTGGTGCCAGGAATCCCAAATCGGTTTTTCTGCCGCCCGCCACGGCCCGTCTTCCCCTTGGGAGCCCCACGGCCTGCAAAAGAGTCCATGGCAGCCAGCAGTGAGCCTTGGGCAGGTATGTGAAAAATGCAGATTTTATCATTGGCTTTTCGCAAATATCGCAATGAATATTATAAATGTGATGTTAGAAAGTGATGCTGTATTAATTCTCTTACGTAGTGTGTTAAATGTAGTTTTAGGTTACAACATAATGTTAAAATAGAGACTGTGTATGTGGGGCAAGGTTTTTTTTAGGAATGAGATACTCGCTTTGAGGAACACCTAAATCTTCCAAAGGAGAGGAATTTATGGTTTTCTTATCAGAAAAAGCTAATTTCTTCAGGCCTTGCCCAGACTCAAAGATGCCAGGGGATCAAAGGAAACAGTTGACACACAACAGACAGAGTTTCTTGTTTAGAATAAAATTCATGCATAACCATGAAGGATGTATGAATATGCAACAAGTGTATTGGTTTAAGGGTGATTCCTTTGTTCACAAGGGATGCTTTTCATGACTTAGTGTCCGAGAGCATCCGTAATTCTTTGCCATTTATTGTCTTGTAATTGTCCTAACTCTAAACTTTATTACTCCAATTGTGTTACTATTTTTATAACCATCTTATTATTATTATTACACTTTAAAAATTTTTAAAAACCAAGCGACTGGTGTTTTTCACAGGTACCAAGACACTTTTTAGGGACTCTGACCCCTCCCAGAAGGCTCCCTGGGCGTTCCTCCCCCTTTACCTGCAGCGGGGCCGTTGGCCTGGCCGAAGTAGCCCGGGGGTGGCATCGGGGGCATGACGAGGTTGAAGGGGATGGGAATGTTCATGGCAGTGACGTGGCTGGGGCCAGCACTGATCATCCCAATCTGGTCGTGGGTTTGGAAGTACATGTTGGATGGACGCCCTGGGAGAGGGGAAAGCACAGGCACTGCAGGAATTCTGCGTTTTTCAGCATCAATCCCGTGCCCTGGAGCAGGATGGACAAGGACGAGCTCCCCCTGCCAAGAGCCAGCAGCGTTTCTGCCTGGCTGCTCATTCCTGGGAATTCCATAAATCCACCCAACACGCTCTCCTCATCCCCACAGCAGCACCTGAGACTCCTGAAATGCTTCTCACTCTCCTTTTCCCCTCATTTTGCACTTGCTCTGCACACCTCAGGTTGGGAGTCTATTTACAGAGAGCAAAATCCAGGCTCGAGACTTTCAGTCCTCAAATTCATCCCAAATATTTTCAGTTGTTAAATTAAATCCCAAACATTTCAGCCTCAAATTCATCCTGAGCATTTTCAGTCCTTAAATTCATCCAAAGCATTTTCAGTCCTTAAATTCATCCAAAGCATTTTCAGTCCTTAAATTCATCCCAAACATTTCGGCCTCAAATTCATCCTGAACATTTTTCAGCCTCAAATTCATCCCAGACACTTCAGTCTCAAATTTACCCCAAATATTTCAGCCTCAACTTCATCCCAAATTTTTCAGCCCTCAAATTTACCCCAAACGTTTTCAGTCCTTAAATCAATCCCATTTTCAGCCCTTAAACTCATCCCAAACATTTTCAGCCCTCAAATTGCACCAAAATTCCAGCTCTCAAATTCCATTTCCGCAGTTTGAAGTTTAAATCTTTAACAAATTCAAAATTTTCACACGTTGAAAAGCCTTTAAGAAGTTTCAAAGTTTGAAGCGTGTAAGATGTGACCCCTCAGGGGGTGGTTAGGAGAAAAAGCAAGCCCTGAAAGTGAATTTTGGGCATTTTCTTTACCTTGGCTGCTGCGGTCGTAGACAGAGCCAGGGATGATGGCCTCTCGTGCATCATACATGGCAGTGGTCATGAAACGGGCACCCTGCAGAGATTTTGGCAATTAGGCACTCATCCTCAATTTTTTTCCCCCCAGAAAACCTTGCACTGCAACCTCAGTGGAAGCTATTTTGGGTAAAAATCCATAAAACCCCACAGATCACGCCAATGTTGTGGAAATTAGTTCTAACACATAGAAAACCTTTAATTATTATTTCAGCCACATCCTGAATACCAAAAGTAAGATTTTCCAGCAGCCTGTCCCAAACTGTGGGACTCCTGATGAGTTTTCAGTCTATTCTGAGGCTCTGGCAATTCCCTTGCTCCATTCACTGTTCTGTGGTGGCTGCCAAGCCCCCCTCCAACAATAATTTATGTTAAATATCAAATATAAACCTTGCAGCTTGAGGGTTAAAAGTGACTTTGCCCTTTCTACACAAACCAGTTCCTTCATTTCATTCACCTCAGGATTCAGCCCTAATCAAATCCTGCAATTACAAAGAAATAATGAAGTTTGCTCAGCCCGGGGACAGCAGCAGCAGCTGCTTCCCCCTGAAGTCACGCTGCACCAAAAGGCAGCAAAAATGGAAACTTCTGGGGGCGTGAGGCTGTGTGGGTGGCTCATTCCACCCATTTAGGATTAATTAAGGCATCAGGGCCTAATTGGCTGCTGTCAGCAGCCCCGGGGCCAGGGCAGGTCACTCACGGGGTTGATGGTGTTGACGAGCTTGCGGGGTTTGCTGAACTGCATGAGGCTCTCCCGCAGGTTGTTCAGGGGCCCCTCCACCAGCACCTTCTGCTCCTTGTAGTAATTCAGGAGGTGATTCCAGAGGGGCTGCTTGGACAGGGCTTTGGGGTTCCCCACAATGATCACCCCGTACCTGTGGAGGGCAGAGGAGCCGCAGTTAACCCGGAGATGTTAAAACCACCTCGCTGTCAGAACAGCCCCTGGGTTCTGGTGCAACTGGAATTGTTTACAGCAACCATTCCAGATGTGGCTCAACAGCTGGAAGGGGATTGCTGCAGGCAGTTCCTCCTTCAGGCTCCCTCCGTGTCCACCCAAACCCCCCGTGCTGGCTTTGAAGCTCGCAAACACCAGGGAGGCCAAGCAGCACCGTGCTGGATTCCACCTCAGCCTCTCTGCAATCAAACCCATTTAAAAAAAACCCCAAAAAACCCAAAAATGGTTGCTGGAAGTGACAAAGCAGCAGATGAAGGGAAGGGATCTGTGCTGAAAACAGGAAGGACGTGGTGACTTCCAAATTTTACTGATGCCAAACGGTGACAGGGGCTCAGATGAGCAGATAAACATGGCACAGAATGGTTTGGGCTGGAGGGACCTTAAAGCCCATCCAGTGCCACCCCTGCCATGGGCAGGGACACCCTAAAGCTGCTCCAACCTGGCCTTGGGCACTGCCAGGGATGGAGCAGCCCCAGCTGCTCTGGGAATTCCACTCCCAGAGGGAAGAATTCCTTGCCAGTGTCCCACCAGCCCTGCTCTCTGGGGAGCCATTCCCTGTGTCCTGTCCCTCCATCCCTCTCCACGCCCAGCTCCCCTTTACCTGGCTCTTGTCAGGGCCACGTTGAGCCTCCTGGGGTCGTTGAGGAAGCCAATGCCCTGGTGCTCGTTGGCCCTCACACAGGACAGGATGATGAAATCCTTCTCCCTGCCCTGGAAGGCGTCCACACTTGCAATTTCCACTTCCTGCAACACAGGAAAACACCTCAGGCACGGAAGGAAAACAGCTCTGCCACCACCAGGCACTGCCAAAGGCCCTGGCCACGCACTGAGCCTTCCACCAGCTGAGAAAAATGTTGGTTTTGGAGCGAGGAATGATTTGGTAATTCCTCCGGGCACTGAGGAATTCCCAGAGGGGAACAAGGAGTCTCAGTTTAGGAGAAATTCCTTTCATGTTCAGAGCTTCATGGTTCTCCTGTTTCCCCAAAACTGTGCAAAGCAGCTCTTTGCTTGAGGATGTTGCCAGAAAGTTCTGACTGTTCCAAAATTTTGTAGGATGAGAGGATCCAAATTAGCTCTGAGAAACCTCAGTGAGAGGGACACATCATTGCTGGCACAGGGAAAAATATTTCCACCAAGCCTCCCTGCAGTGAAAACACTGCTCAAGTTCTCAGCCTTGCAAAACAAGACCATATTAAACACAGAACTGGGCTGTTTGTAGCAGCTCATTTTTCTGTTTGGTGGAGGAGTTGCACTGATGGCAGGATGTGTTCCCAAGCAAATAATCGTGTGGCCACCAGGATTTATTTGCTTGGTTTCCTGCACGTCCCTTGGCATGGAGGGCTGATGAAGGCACAAGGTTTTCCACAGTGACCTCTCCCTCCTGTGCCTCAGAGGATTTGTTGGAGCCTTTTTCCACACAGATTTTCCCTCTTCCCATTGGTACCTCCTAACTCTTCTTGATTTTAACCAAAACCAACTTAAAAACCCAAAAACTGATCGGTATTAACCAAAACCAACTCAAAAATCCATCAACACAGACTGGGCCTGAATGTGGAATGAACATAAAACCCCTTAGGATTGTCACAATCTGTGATTTTGGGCTCTGTGCAGTACCTGGTAGAGCTTGGTGTGCAGGGAGCCACTGAACTGCATGTACTGCACCAGGTAGGAGCGCTGCCCCTCGTAGGGGGTGATGATGCCAATCTGGTCAGGCTTGGCCCCAGCCTTCAGCAGCTTCGTGGTGATCTTCTCCACGTTGGCAGCCTCCGTCCTGGAGAGGCAGATTGGGTCAGCCAAGGAGGGTCAGGGCATCAGGACTCAGTTTTTAGGCAGTTAATGGGATTTAAAAGCCTCCCATGTGAGGGTGCTTGAATGGAAAGATCAATTTGGCTCGAGCACTGCAATTAATTTGGCTCGAGCTCCTCAGCCTGGACATGCACAGAGGAATGTGGGCCAAAACCAACATCCCCAAGGCCTCAGAACCACACAGATTTCACCTCCACCTTCTCAGAACTGCACAACAGACAGCAAAACCTCCTCAAGTCCAAATGGAGTTCCTTGCTGGAGTTAAATGTACACATGGAACTTTTACAATCAGCATCATTCCAAACATCCCCCAGATCCTTCGGCTGCTTTATCTTAAAGCTTTAAATATAGAATATTTTCAATGTCAATGCCCCCTATCAGCCAAGCATTGTGCTGTTTGCTCGTGCACAATCTGCTCCACTGTATCCAGTCTTGCACATGCTGCTCAGGAAACAGACTGAGATTAAAAATATCTCAACTGATATTTTTTTCACAAGTTGGACTGGTTTCCCTGCCAGACACGTGAACAACCATGACCCAAGAGGAGCAGATTTTAAATTTATTTGTTGAAAAAGAAGGTTGAATGTGCAGAAAAAAAGGGATGGGGAAAAAAAAAGTTAATTTCCATCCCTTTTGAACTAAATCTAAGATTTAGGCTTCTGCTTGAGGAGTTATTGGAATTCAAAATGTGACTTGATCAGCATTTCCTGCTGGCCCAAACTCACCCACATCAGGCATTTTATCATCCCCTGCTCCTTCTACACCCAGTGAGGGTGAACTCCTCCACACAATCCCAGCCCAGCTCAGCTCTGAGCTGCTCCCTCCTCCTCCTCCTACGAAAGGAGCCCAGGGAAAACCAACCCCAAAACGCAGCTCAGGCTGCAGCCCCTGACGGAGGCTTTATTAAAGCAAAAATCAGGGTTTATCCCCTGAGGAATCAGCAGCCCTGCCCTGCACACGGAGGCCAGGTTCAGAGACCAGAGGTCTGCTCACCTGTTGAGGTAAGAGGTGCCCGAGCTGGCAATCTCCTCCTGTCCCTGGGTCACGTAGAAGAACATGGGTTTGTCAGGCTGGGGCCACTGGAAATCAAAGCCTTTCTTCACCCTGTCAGCTGAGGAGCACAGCAACAGGGAGCAGAACAAATCAGCAACACCACTTGGCAATTTCCATATCAAAGCGCCTCCAAATGAAGCCTAATGCTCATTTTTTTTTATTAAAAATCCAAACCCAGATGAGAGAATGCCTGCTTTGATCCCTGCTCAAGATTTGCAGCTCTCCCCAAAAGCTCAGAAACCTTTAGTGTCACTCTCTTTTCAGATGATCATTTTCATAGGAAATCTTGTTCACTCTCCAGATTGTTCCAACAGCACCAACACCTTCCAGGCCATGGAAACAGGAACCAGCAGGGCAAACCCAAAATGAACAGGGTGACCCCAGAATGAACAGAGCTGACCCCAAAATGAACGGGGCTGACGCCAAAATGAACAGGACTGACCCCAAAATGAATGAGACTAACCTCAAAAGAACAGGACTGACCCCAGAATGAACGGGACTAACCCCCAAAATGAACAAGAATAAGCCCAAAATGACCAGGACTAACGCCCAAATGACCAGGACTAAGCCCAAAATGAAAAAGACTGACCCCAAAATGAACAGGACTGACCCCAAAATGAAGTCAGCCAGGTTTATAATATGGAAAACTCCGTGTGCCCATGCTGGGAACACGCCTGCTCAGATCTCCCTCCTGCCTGTCTCCCAGCTCCCTTTCTGAGGCAGGGCAGGGTCCTGCTGCCCTGCCCAGGTGCTGCAGCCCCTTACCTGCAGTGACCCCATTCCTGCTCCCTGCCCAGGTGCTGCAGAGCCCCTTACCTGCGGTGACCCCGTTCCTGTTCCCTGCCCAGGTGCTGCCCAGGTGCTGCAGAGCCCCTTACCTGCAGTAACCCCGTTCCTGCTCCCTGCCCAGGTGCTGCAGCCCCTTACCTGCAGTGACCCTGTTCCTGCTCCCTGCCCAGGTGCTGCCCAGGTGCTACAGCCCCTTACCTGCAGTAACCCTGTTCCTGCTGCCCTGTTGTGGTGTTGCTGGGGTGCAGAGCCCCTTACCTGCAGTGACCCCGTTCCTGCTCCCTGCCCAGGTGCTGCCCAGGTGCTGCAGCCCCTTACCTGCGGTGACCCCGTTCCTGTTCCCTGCCCAGGTGCTGCAGAGCCCCTTACCTGCAGTGACCCCGTTCCTGCTCCCTGCCCAGGTGCTGCAGAGCCCCTTACCTGCAGTAACCCCATTCCTGCTGCCCTGTTGTTGTGTTGCTGGGGTGCTGCAGCCCCTTACCTGCAGTGACCCCATTCCTGCTTCCTGCCCAGGTGCTGCAGCCCCTTACCTGCAGTAACCCCATTCCTGCTGCCCTGTTGTTGTGTTGCTGGGGTGCTGCAGCCCCTTACCTGCAGTGACCCCGTTCCTGCTCCCTGCCCAGGTGCTGCAGCCCCTTACCTGCAGTGACCCCGTTCCTGCTCCCTGC